ACTACTATCTTTCCAAACACAAAAACAAAAATTTCTCCAATAAATATTCTGTAACTAAAAAAACTTACAAGAAAACCCACTTCCCAAACACCCACTCACCACATCATAAATATATAAATCAATTTTAAAAAAATTATAGAATCCTCCAAAAAAACTTCAACTCATTTTCAATTTTCTATTATTACCAAATCTTGACTGAAAAATTCATTGCCACCCCGCACACCACCCCATTTATATATTTTCAAGTGTGTGCAGTGGAGTGGGGGAATGGAGAGGCCTGATCTTCAAATAAATGGTCCTTTCTTCTTTCTTGAAAAGATGAAGAGGAATAAGTCAATTTATAAATTTATTTAAATTATGATTATGTTTTTTAATTTTTTATATATATTTTTAAAAAATCAAAAAAAAAATTAAAAAAGTTAAAGTTGTGTTTGGTTTAATTTTAAACTTATGATTTGGTGTATGAAAAATTATATTTTGAGTTTATGATTTTTAAATTTGATTTGAAAAAGAGAATTTGTTTGGTTAATAAGTTTTTAGGAATAAACAAACGGGTTGCGGCGGGGTCGGGGATTCCTCCCATTCCGATCCCGCGGATAAAATTCTCTGTCCCCACCCCGATCCTCGGCGGGGAATATCTAGCTAAAAGACCATTACGTGCCCCCCACCCCGCGACCCCAAAATAATCTCAACCTTTTTTTTTTTTTTTTTGAATTTTGGCATATCCATTTTTATTTTTATTTTTTTTAGGCAAATAAAAAATTTTTTTGTGGTTGGATGTGATGTTTGTGAGAGAAAAAGTAAAATGATTATGGGGTTTGATGTGATATTTTGTTTGAATTTTTTTTTTTTTTTTTTGGTTTTGTAACCAATTTGTCTTTTATCAAAAAAAAAATCAAAAAAAAAAATAAAAATAAAAAACAAACTTCCCAAACAGCATCTTATTTATATATGTGTAGAGTTTATATCATAAATAATATGAATCATTTTGAAAATTATAGGATCCTCTAAAAAGGAGTCTCTATCATTGTTGGAATAAAATATCAAATGCAAAATCGGTGACATCGGACCTCTCTCACTGGTTCCAAGTGACACTTCTTACTCCATAAAATCGCTCTTGAATCAATAATGTTGTAAATTTATAAAATTATTTTTATAAATCATAATTATTTTAAAAGTATGACTCACATATTATCCTTAGGAGTATGAATCCTAGGAGGACTCTGCATGGAGAAATAAAAGTCCTACTAGGATTATGCCACTCGAAACCTATAAAAGCTCACAAGCACCACCTTGGAGGAGGTAATTGAACACAATTCTTTCTGAGAACATAAAACTTTGTCTATTTGTCAAGCTTACTGACTTAGGCATCGGAGAGGTTTCCGGCACACACCCGCCGGCTAGCTCACGCTTGTGTTTTCAGGTGATAAAGCGACGTCGTACGGAGGAGCGTGGACTTGGTCAACAGGATTATACGAGGAGAATTATTTCCTCCCCGTACATCTGTCATAATATTAATTGATTAAGATTAAATTTATAAAATTATATAAAAATTCTCATGATTTATTATTTTTGTAAAATACCAATAATAACCTCCAATTCCATAGAATAGGGTTAATAATCCGAAGTCTGTCATGAAAATGCATGTTGTATGCTTAGAAGTGTTTTACAATTTCATGAGAAGTTAAAAAATAATTTTGCAACTTTTTTCTCACTCTCCTCTTTAGAGGACATTGGAAATTACGTTAATTTATATTTTTTAGTTATAATAATTTTTTATTACGTTAAGTATTTCATTAGTTATAATATTTTTTGTTGCGTTAATTTTTAATAAAATTATGTATTTTATAATTAATATTATAAAATTTTGTGATAAAATTATATAAATTTATAATAAAATGTAAATAGTATGTAAATGTACCCATAAGCTTTTCCAAACAGAAAACAAAATAAATACCACTACATCCCTTCTTTTTATCTTTGTTTTCCCCTCTCCTACCAAACTATTATTCTCTTTTGTTTTTTTGCCAAACACTATTATAGATAAAAGTGTGCATCATCCACGTGTTCAAGTCCTATACATTCTCTTCCATATTGTTTTGTTTTTGTGGTGGAAAACGCTATCTTGGATGAACGATTAATAGGGTTAGGATTACGAAATTTTTTTAGATTGTATATTTTATTCTATGTTTAGATTGTGTTAGAATTATAAGGAGAAATTAATAGTTCAGACTTTAACTTAGGTCAAGTTTGGCATGATCGAAAAAAGACAAAAAGTCAAAAAGTCACTATCCTAAGTCACATCACCTCTCTAACACATCACTTCAAACCCAACTCAAACCCAACCCATAAACTAGGCCTTAGTCCTTTAATTTATATCTCATCTTTTTCTATGGGATTAAATAATTCATCATATGTGGGATACGATATCCGAAAGAATTGTTAATCCGTACTTCAATTGTTTAACCAAATATCAAATTAATAATTTTATTAGACTATTAATCCAATCCAAAACTCATATCCATCCAAACAAATATGGCCTATAAATTCTAAATTTTCTACTAAATAAATAATCAAATACCTTATATAGGAGATATGGTATTTATATTTCATCATTTATTTATAATGTCTACATTTATACGAGACATTTAATAATTAATTTAATAAAAAATTTAATATCCTCAATATTATCATTTTGTGTTGCCTCATGAAATCAAAAGTCAAACAGTTAATAAATGAAACTGAGCAAAGCCATTAAAGAGGGCATGAATGAGATACGATACATATGAATCAACTCACTCACCTTGAGTTGGGCAGAGAGGGTGGTGATGAGATTGACAGTGAAAGCTTCAAGACTCACATTGTTGTTGTTGATGCTGGATTTCCTCATAAAGTAATTGAATGTGTAATCGTTCCCACCAGTTCCCACCACAATCAAGTAACTGGGCAATGATTCGCTGCTCTTGCACCCCAGCTGCCTCTCCAAATCAGGCAGTGTCACTCCCTCAAAGTTTTTGATCTGTTGGTTTAAACTTATCACTTGGCCCTGAAAATGCAAAATCCATGATTAATTATAAGGCTTGACCTTGATCTGGTCTAACTTATATATATATATATATATATTGTTTTTATTTTTTTATTTTAAGTTTCTAATTTTCTCAAAAATTATTTTCTGTTTTTTAAATAGAAATTAATTTGACGATGATATGATAGGGTAATTCATTTCGCTACTTGTGATCACCATAGATATATTGTGAATTTTTCTAAGAATTTTTTTTTGTATGCATATAAAATTTGTTAATTTTAAATTTACTTGTGTTGAAGACAAACTTAATAGACTGATAGCTAATTGAGTTACAATAGGAGAAATTATCATACAATGCTAATTTCAGAAACTTATTATAGATTTATAAAATTAAAAAAAAATTATAATTATAATTATTAATGCTTATAAAATTTACCTTTTACTTGTAATAATTTTTCAAACAACTATACTACACTCCTGATATAGTAACACCATTTTGACCCCTAATGAGATGGAATAGAGAGAGAATAGAAAGAGGAAAAATGAGGAGTGTGGATTCACCCCTTCACATGGTCTATTCCATATCATTAGGGATGAAAGAGGAAAGATGAGGAGTGTGGATTCACCTCTTCACATGGTCTCATTCGATATCACCATCCCATGATAAATAAATTATGATTGTTGTCTAAGGGTCAAATTAGAAGAGAGATTTTAACCACTCATGGCCCTGGGAAGTGGGTTTAGGAATTTTTTAGGCTAAAATTCAAAACAAAATAAGTTAAAATAATTAATAAGATAAAATATCACATTAAATTCATAATTATTTTATTTTTTTCTTGTAAATATCACATCTCTAACTACTAAGAAAAAATAAAATAATAATCATATTATCAAACACACAAATTTTAACATACTAAAATAACTAAAAATTAAAATAACTTCTTAAAATAGTCAACTTCCAAAACAAGGACTATATATGACTTTCAAAAAAATAAGAAATTCTTTTAGTACACACTAGTTGTAGGGTGTGTAATATTATGTATTTTATGATAATAATATGTACTTTTTTTTATCTAAATATTTTAGAATCACAAACTATTGTAACCATAATATTTTATAATAATGTTACATTTTTTTAAATTCTAAATTACAAATTATTATAACTTTATAAATAAATAAATAAATAAACTTAGTATTTATCACAAAAATATATAATATATACAAAAAAAAATGTGTAACAAAATGTATATGATACACATTTTTTAAGATGCATACCAAAATAATTTTCTATAAGAAAATTTATGCAATTTTTTATGGTGAAAATTATGTTTTTTTCTTTTTCTTTTTTGAGATCTTGAAAATTACGTTAATTTGTGGTAAAAATTAGGAATTGTGAATTTATGAAATGCACCAAAAGAACAAAAAGTTAGCTTTTTTATAATGATAAAATTTATATTATTTTATAATTTATGTTACAGAATTTTATTATATTACTATAAAATGCATATGCAAAATAAAATCAAACATGAAGAAAATTTTTTCTTGGCATACATAGTATAACCAATTTTTTAATAGTTTAATCTTTATGTGATAATTGATTTTTTGTAATAATTGATCATCTAACAATGGACTGGCAGATGATGAGTGGTACAGTGACGGTAATGCAACACCAAAACTTGAAAGCGAGCACATTTAAGGGCTGTTTAGGATGACTTAAATAAGTGCACTTTTTATCTTTTTACGAAAAGATGTACAGAAAAGTAGAAAGGTGATGTGATGAAAAAAAGATAAAAAGATGGATTATTTTGCAATTGCCAAACTTGGCCTTATTTTGCATCAACTAATTGTTGGGGATTTAAATATTTACTAAAAACAACACTTAATTATAAGCTCAATCTCACTAAACATATCAATAAAAAAATCATGGAATAAAAAATCAAAGAATGGTAAATAATAATAATAATAGTATGAAAAGAAAATGGCTTGTGAGATTTATCATGACAAATTGGCATCCCAAAGTCAGAAAAATTTTAGAGAACCACAAAAAAATCCCAAATTAATGGTGTAGATTTAATTTTTTTTTATTGTGGACACACTTCATGAATGAATCTCAGTCAGAAATTTGAGTTTATAGACTCACGGAAAATTATATTTATCTTTTCCGTGCAAGTTTTACCGGATGATGTACAACTTTAAAATATAATTCAGAATCTCATAAAAGTGTTTGTCACATTACACTGTACCTGTTTGGCAGAACTTAAAAGCACCTTATTTCAGCTTTTAACTTAATTTAACCTATTTTGATGTGCTTAGTTTAGCTTATAGCTTATAGCTTATAGCTTTTTGGAAGTCAGAAATCAGTTTATTCTTTGAGTGGGGCAGGAGATGCTTAATTTATAAGTCAGAAATCAGTTTATGTTCATAGTTATAAGTCATAAGCTGTTTAGGCATAAACTATAAGCACTTTTCCACAGCTCTACCAAACAGGGCCACACATGACACAATGAGCAACAAATCAGAATGCCAAGTCTGTGTTAGATTGCCCAAATAAATATATATATATATATATATATAACAATGATTATATTAAAAAAGTCTCGTTGAGATAGTTTTTTTGATTTCTTTTACTTTTGTGAGAGAAAAAATAAAATGATTATGGACTGAATGTGATATTTTTTCTGATTAGACTAAAAAATTTATTTTGTTTTTTTATAATAAAGTAACCAAAAAATTAAAAAGTCTAACATGCCAAACAAAAGCCATGTATGCATGAAGAGGAAAAACGACCGAAATTTTCATTGTATGTGAAGGATAATACTCGATAAATAAAGATAATACTATATAAATAACTTGCGTACAGTATGGTGTGTACCGTAATATGTACCCATTCAGAGTACATATTCACAAATTTGTGCCTTTAAATTCGAGAAAATTAGTGAAATATTACCCTCTAACTTTATATAGTAAGAGAGGTTCAAAATATGTTTTTTTTTTTTATTAGCTAAGATTCCTCAATATTTTCACAGAGAAAATTTGACTCAGAGAAATTTCTTTGAGTCGAGTTGAAACTCTTTGAATCGGGCAAAATTTCTCCGAGTAAAATTCTCTCTGTGAAAATATGGAAGAATCTTAACTACTACAAAAATATTATATATCATTTATCTTATAAAGTCTTAATATCAGGGATCTTAAAATTTCCCTTCAAATGAAGGAGGTTGATCCTTTCCATCTAGATTTTAGATTGGAATGTGTTGTTTGGATTCATAGGCTTATTAGAGGTCCCATTTTGATAATATGAAACGTTTATTTTATGTATTTTATCTACATAAAAAATTAGATGAAACAAATAAACAAACCAGAAAACAAAACCGAAGAAGACTTACTGCAAGAGAACCAGTATCATCAAGAATACCAGAAGCACCAGAAGCATAGTTGACACCATGAATGATCCTACTCCCCTTTGTTGTTGGATTGGTGAATGGTGGAATATATGAAGGAAGGTTGAGTTGATCACCCAAAAGGTCAATCACATTCTTGCCATTAGTAAATCTTCCAGAAGGACCAAGAGGGAAGTCTATTCCATATGGCAAGTAGTCAGCCTTGGCCATTGATTCTTGGAGATAGTTGTTGTTTCCATTGTCAACCAGTGAGCTCCCAAACACAAACATTCCTTTGATCTTAGTACCATCTTCTTTCTCTCCACCACTACTACTACTACTACATGGAGATGGAAGGAAACAAGCAAGGAGAGAGAAAGATAACAAGAGAAGATTTGGGGAAGTCATTCTAGCCATCATAACGTTGAAAAGGTGTTATTGCAAAATTGAGGAGAGGGGGAGGGGTTTTTATAGGAAGCCAACTCGTCTACCCATCCACCAATAATGGGAAAATATTTTATTTAACAAAATGTGTCATTCAATTAATTAGGCTGATGTGTATTTCTTCACTTTTTTATTTGTTACATAATAAATGTGAGATATGAAAAGTCATTTTGTGATTTGTTTGAAATATTAAGTATTCAATGAGCAAGGATTTTTTTGTCATCAAACATTTTTGTCCCCTTATCCCAAATCACTTACAACCATCGGATATGTCTTGAGATTCTCAAATTTTGAAAATTTCATATGATCCAAGGATTCTTATATGATTCAATGGTTGTGAGTGATTTGGGACATGGGGACATGAATATTTGGAGATAGGGGATCCTTGATCATATTCAATCATATTAAAAAGTCAAAAAATATATTTATTTAGAATATCTCAAAACAACCCTAAATTCTGATTCTAGCATCTCTCCACACATTGCTATGTGATTAAAATTTAAAATTTGTAAATTAGACTCATTTGGGGGGAAAATGGCATTACATTAAATTTAAATCTGTATTATATAATGTTTGACATAATAGTTTTGAGTACATAATACTTTTTGGAAAAAAAAAAAAAAAACCATATTGGTAGAGCACTTAAAATAGGATTCAATACAAATTTTATTAAAAAAATAAAATTTATTAGTAATTTTCCACAAAATAAACTTTAAAAAGTGAACAAAACACTTACCTGAGATACACAGGACTCACATAACTATAGGACCAACCCCTTAATCGCTCTGTAATTTTTTATTTTGCTTTTTGAATTGGTTTATATGTGTGCTGCCTTATTGCCATTTGAACGGACAAAATATATAAGTTCGATCTTATATATGGGCTAGATTTCTCTTAAATTTAAATTTGAACATGATTGTCATATTTAGAACCATAAAACTTATTATATATCTCATTTCGATTATCTAGACGTTAATTTTGTAAGATTTTTTTGGGTATATTATTCATGAAAAAGATTAAATAATTCAGATAATTATAATATCTTTATTTTATGATTTATGTCTCTAAAAAATGAATGGCCTATTTTCAAAAATACAATTGTTGTCAATTTTTTTTCCCCAAAAACTAAGATAATAAAATGAAAATATTATAATTATGAAATCAACCCAATTTTTTTTCATAAATGATACATACAGAGTATTCTATAAATTAAACAATCAGATTATTAAAACAAAATTCACGATGAGCCCACAAACCCGAACATAATGATCATGTTCAAATTTGGTGCAACTCCATTTTGATTAATGCCATGTTTAGATATTGGAATTGGGAAATAATAACTTTTTATTTTATTTTATTTTATGTTTGAGTAAAATGAAAAAAGAAAAAATGTAAATATTAATAAAAAAATCCATTTGCTGTTTTATTTTTTTATTGTGACAAATTTAAAATTTAGAAATAATTTTAAAGCAAGTGGATTGTCTCCGGTCCACAATCTGGATTGAAAGGCGCTATTTGGGCCTGTGGAGATCACCATTGGTCCCATTTTGATAATTCGAATAATTTATTTTGTCAAAAACTGTGTATTTCATCCAACAAAGAAAATTAAGTTGATCGGATAATTGTAACATTTTCAAATTATCATGTTTGTTATAAAAAGAAAAAAGAAAAAGAGTTAATTACCTAAAAGTCCTATATAAGATTTTTTATGGAAAGATTAGTCTAAGGTCCCTGTAACAACCCTTACTTTGCTCTAGCCATGCTTGCATATATTACATGATCTTGTCTTGATATGTTGCATTTGTAAAACCTTAATTTGTCTTGCATAAGTGTTACTTGCATGCTTTGTTCCTTGTTTGGTGTGTGTGTGGTTAGCCTAGGTTAATCCAAGCCGAGGTCACCTTATGTTTAGAACCACCTTGGAACCACTTTGGTTGACCTCCACCTTCACCAAGGCATGTTGGCCGAGATGTTATCCTTGCGCCTAAGTGATCTTGTTCCTGGATTGGTGCGACCTAAACCGAGGTGTGGCACATCTAGGCCGAGGTGTGGCACAGCTAAGTCAAGTGTTGTCCTTCCTAGCCGAGATCATTGTTCCCCCACTTGCCGATGACTTGTTCTTAGCCGAGATCATTACCTGCCGGAGTGCCTATGCCATCTTGCTTGTTGAACACACCTTGTCATAGTCTTGTCTTTTCACTCAGCCACCTTTTTTAGGAGAACCAACCCGGTAGTGCCACGTGTCCCAACTGAGTGTTAAGTCAGCCAGCAGACCTAGAAATGTATCATTTGCTATATGTCTTTGCTTGTGAGGAGAGAGAAACTCTAGAAGAAGAAGAAGTTCTTAGAGGGGGAATAGATTTCCAAGCCTGATCCTTAGAGTTCAAACCGTTTGATTCGTGTTTTGAGGTTAGAATCTTAATCTACTCTTGTTGTTCTTATTGATCATCTAGCTGCATTGCATGATCGAACCTAATTTGCAAGCCATGCATCGATTTAAAGTTGGGTTTAGAAAGAGAAAGTGGTATTCATGTGTTCTTGAAGAAAAAGTCTTGTTTGATCTGAAAGTTCGCATTAAGATTCATGTTTTGTGTTTGTTTTCATAAAATCTTCGAGTATGGGTGCCCAGGTCCATGTTTTTGAATTCATAGCATGAAATCTCAGATTTTGTAATGATAAGTTATGATCTTTGCATCCATGTTCTTCATGTTCTTCAAAGAAAGGGAAACCCAGATTTTCCCGACTTCGTTTCCTTGAATGTGGCCATTGGAACCACACCTCGGCAAGGGAGGTGTGGGACCTCGGCCAAGACCTGGATGGTGCCCATTATGTTTTCCCGAGATGAGGAACAGTGTTTTGTTTTGGTCCGACTTAGTTTTGAAGTAATGTCGAGATCATTTGCATTCATGTAAAGCTTGTTTGTTAGTGCATTCAATGGGATTTGTTATGTGCTTGTAGGCCTTGGATCTTGCATTCATGTAAAGCTTGTTTGATAGTGCATTCAATGGGATTTGTTATGTGCTTGTAGGACTTGAATCCTTGCCTGTAGCCCCGACGTTTGAAGAACTATGTGAGTGGTATTTTTAATAAAGCTATGTTATAAAATTTCGATAAAGCTTTGCTTTGTTTTGAAAAGTATTTGTTAAGCATGAATGATTATCCCTATTTTGTGTATCAAGTGTTAGTTTTGTTTTGTAGCACAACCTTTGAAAGTCCGTACGTGCTAGGGGACTATAAGCATTTGTAGCACAACTTTTGTTAATGTCACCCCTCGAAACTTGAAAGCCTTGAAAGACTTTGATTGATGAAGCTTGAAAGATTTGTTAGATAAACTTGATTTGCCCTTGGATTTTGTACAAGATGTGATATACCTTGATTTAATAAAGATTTCGAATATCATTCATGTAAACCCCTTTATTATTTGTACCATTCACTGAGTATCCAAGCTCACCTCTCTCTATATATATGTAGGTGACGAGCAGGATGGCGGTGACGCCTAGAAGTACTTGCTACTTGTTTTGGATTTTGCACTTTTGCAGCATCTTGAAGATTATGCTTCTTAGTTGTACTTTATTGTATTTTGTATTTGATGGCTGAGAAGCCTTTTGGTCAAGATGTATTTTTGTACTTCATTTTGTTGTATTAAAGCTACGTAAAGATGTATGCCATTCCATTTAACTTATGCACTGCTCTTATGGACTAATTAGATTTGTATATATTGCTTCCCCACATGTTAGCCCCGTATGTAATACTCTGATTGTGTGTGAATTTTGACAGTTGGCCTTCGGTAATCTCGGATTACTGGCCATCATGGCACAATTCTACTAGGGGCGGAATGGGGTCGTGACAGTCCCTCTCCCATTTTTAGTAATGGAAGGGTTCTACAATATTATTTTATGATGTCTAAGATCTCTTAACCTCATACCCATATATCACAGAGAAATTTAACTCTCTCAAATCAAACCTCTTCTCTCTCTCTCTCTCTCTCTCTCTCTCTCTACCAACTTCTCTATTCTCAAATGGGAGACAATAAGCACAAACGAGGCCAAAAGTCCAAAAATCGACTCCCTAAAACCCTAGATTTTTCAACCGCCATCATCGCTACTGGCGACGGTATTGATGGAACCTCTTCTTCCTGTATTTATTTAATTCGAATGAAAGGCCAATGAATGGACAGTACCTAATGATGATGATGTCCTAATAGCAACACCGAAGGCAAATTTGACTTTCTCAAACTTGGTGCTCGGTGCTAGCTCAACTTTGCTTTTCTTCTCGTCCACACTGTAAATCACGTTTTCAAACTCATCCACTTCCTTCAACAACCCTTTTAATCTCTCTGTTTTTTCCTTGATAGAATAATCAATTTCACTGATCTGTGACAAATAAATTTCGACTGTTCTCTCTTGTAAATCAGCAAACAACGATTTAAGTGTACGCAAACTAGAGCACTCATCAATAGATGACTTGAGAAGAAGTGATTTTCTTGGTCAGATTTAAACTCAAACACTTGATCTGCGTTCTTTGTTGAGTACAAAGTTAATGTGTCAAAAACGATTTTGAATGTTTCAAGGTCCTCAAAGGAATGATGATGATGATAATGAGACTTCTCGTTTTCTTCAGTGTTGACTGTGTTTGATGAAATTAGTCTATGTACCTAAAGATGACTGGAAACGATGAATCCACATTTCTTCCCGCCAGACATATCAAACTGGAGAGCCGTAAGCATTGTCAATGAGCCACTGTGCTCGCTATTGGAACTGAATGCAATATTGGTAAGAATTTCACTATCTGTTGTTTATTGTGTGAATTGTTGAATTGTTTTGATAGGTATACATTTTGCAGTAGAATTATTGGATAAGCTATGCCAGAGGCTTTCTTCACAGAGAAATTTGTGAAGAAAGCTAGAGAAATTCTCTGTGAACAAAGTTAGAGAAATTTCAATTTTTTGTGAAGAAGATTAGAGAAATTTGTGAACAAAACTAGAGAAATTCAATTTTTTCTAGTTTG